ATATATTTTAAGAGACTAGACTTATATCTCCTTTTTACTACTTTTACTAAATATTATTTATAGTATAAAGGGGAGCAACTATTTACTCCTCTTCTTTACTCTCTACTTCCTCTTTAGCCTCTACTCTAGCTACTACTTCTTATTATAAACTAGCTATCTTAGAGGGTTCTTAAACCTTAGAGGAGGCACTTAGTGTAGTCTACTCTACTAGTAGAGAATATATTATTAATATATTTAGAACACGTTCTTAAGCATTTACTATTAAGCTCCTATAGAAGATCCTTGCTTCTATAATACCTTATATTATAATTCTACTATAGTTTACTAGGGCTATTTAAACCTTAGGATAATACCTCTTAAGGTAGTAGATAAGATTACCTCTATTAGAGAAGCAACGCTAAAATAGTTATTAATATATTGTAAACGTGTTCTAACTTGCATATATATATACTCTATAAAGTTCCTATACCCCTAATCTAGCCTAAATAGCCTAGTAGAAAAGCTCGCTAGGAAATACTATACACCTATTATTTAGGTAGGATATTATAGGAGAGAATGCCCTAGTATTAGATAGAAGTAACTTAAGCTTAATATATCACTAGTATAAATCCTACTTAGTGTTAGAATAAGTTTATAACGTGTTCCTAACGCGTTCTATTATATACTAACTTTAAAAGATCTTTATAGACTATATTAACTAGTTATATCTAATAATATTAGGAAAGATAGATAGTAAAATAGTATTAAACTCTTAAATATAAAAAGTTCTTATAGAGTGTAAGAAGAAAGAAGAAGAAAGAGAAGAAGAAAGAATATATATTTATCTACTTATATATACTTATATAATAGACTAGAATATATTAAGAACTAGTTAGGAACTAGTTACTATATTTATAGACTAACCCTGCCTTATATAAAAAGTAGCTATCTCTTTCTTAAGTTTAAACTATGCCTTTTATAATTTAAATAGTACCTTTTTCTATATAAGTTCTTCCTTATCTACCTCTAGCTTTTCTTTTCTCTCCTTTAGAGCCTAATTACTAAGAAGAGCCTTTTATTATAAAGTTTATAGTTATAGACTAATAATAAGTTAGGAACGTGTTATAAATATATTTCGCAAAGCATACCTTTAGGTTACTATTAGTAGAGGAGAAGAGCCTAGTAGTAGAGAAGATAGAAAAGGGGCTAGTAAACTTCTTTCTAATACCGCTCTACTACTTGCCCTCTAGCTTTAGGCTTTTAAGCGTGCTCTTTTATTTCTTATTAGGACTAAGATATATCTAGTTAAGTTAGATATAGCAAGACTTGCTTTATTATTATCTAGAGTATTATTATTATTATAGGACGCGTTCTAAACACGTTCTAAATATATTTTAATTAGTAAATATGCATAACACTAGTGTAAGACTTACTTTCTCCCCTCTAAAGCTTTTTAAGGTACCTTTGCTTAAGCCTATTAGGAGTTCTATAGTTATAGCGTATTCTAAACTTGCTCTAGGCTTTAAACTCTTTTATATCCTATAGATCTATCTAGTGTGCACTACACAATATTACTTATATAATTCTAATAGGTTAAGAATAGGTTATAAACTTACTTCTAAGTAGCCTTAAGAATACTTATATGCTTACTAGTTTTATATCCTTTCTAGCCTGCTTGCTTAGCTATATTTAAATAAGATTCTAGTTTTTCCTATACCTCTTTTAATATTTTACTATAGTATTATATAATCCTAGTAGTAATTACTAGGTTTTTCTTATAGATTACCTAGTTTTAGGCATCTTTAGAGGGTTTATGTCCTAATTATATAAGACTAAGTTAGGAATATATTTAGAATAGGTTTAGAATATGTTTACTTACGTAAAAGGAGGTTAGTAAGCTAAAAGTATTCCTCTACTATTAATACCTATAGTAATTTACTTAGATATAAAGAGGTAGTATTATCTAGCTCTCTTTTATATACTTTATAAATACTTCTTTATAGATATACTTAACAAAATCTTATATAAGATTAAAGTTACTAGCGCTAGTTACGCTTATAGGGATTAATTAACTAGAGATAGCGCCTAAGTCCTAGAAACAAGTTAGAAATATATTATAAACAGGTTATAGTGCGCTATAAAACTTGCCTATTATCTGCTTATTATATATATTAATAGTAGTCCTATAGAATCCCTATAAGTAAATATACCTCTATAACACTTATCTTTTTATAAGTACTTTACACTTCTAAAAGAAGTTAGTAATAGTAACTTAATATATCTTAGTTATATCCTTATCTATAATAATTTAGCTAAGAGTAATAACTATAATATATTAGAAACGTGTTATAAACCTATTCTTAATGCGTACGCTTCTTTTCCTATAGGTAGAAGATTACTATTAGAATCTCTACCTATGCCTTATATAACCTCTTATATAATATATCTATCTAGAACATGTCTTAATCTAATAGAATTAATACCTACTCTTTAAAAAGGTAAATAATTAAGTTACCTAAGCTTAATATAAAGATTTGCTATATATACACCTATAGTAATATATTAGTAATATATTCTAAACCTATTCTCTTATACTATATATAGTTTTAGGATCCTAATACTTTATCCTCTACTTATAGTATACTCCTCTAAGGCTACTCTTAAATAGGAACTATAGAAGCTTTTTACGCTTTATAATATATAAGATTTTATCTTTATTTATAAAGCTAATATATATTTCTTTAATAGAATAGAAACCTTTAAGTTAGAGATAGGTTTAAAGCTAGGTTAAGTTTAGGAACTAGGCTATAATAAGTTAGGAACACATTTATAACAGGTTATAAATAACTTATATTATATAAGCTATAGAGTAAGCATAGGCTATAATACCTTTACTACTTCCTTAATATTACTATTAGATAGTATTAAGGGAGGAGGAGGTATATATATATATATACTAAAAGAAATAATAGTAAAAAAAGGTATTACTACTATATCTATTAGTATAATTACTTAGAAGGTAACTTTATATAGGATTTTAAATAGAGATCCTTGCCCTTATAGATAATTAACGCCTAGAATATATTAGGAATATATTAGGAATAGGTTATAATATACCTACTACACTTCTTTATCTAGCTTAACTGTGGCTTAACTATAGAATATAAAGCAGGACTACTAGAAAGATTTAATATCTCCCTAGTTAGAAGACCTTATAGATATATAGAGTCTACCTCTAGTAGTACCTAACTAAAATAATATTTTTTCCTAGTAGCAGATATTAGGCTATAGTTCTAATAGCTAATATATAGTTAAGCCTATTCTATAATTTACTAACTTATTATTAACACGTTTTAAATATATTTAAGTTTTACTCCCTACTTAATTTACTATAGTCCTTATTATAGGATAATAAGATACCTAGTAGTCCTTATAAATCCTTAAAGAGAAGCGCTTAATAAGGCTATAATAATAGCTTCTTGTTTATAGTTCTCTTTATAAAATTTTCTTAGGTACTATACTTTTTAAGGTTTAGATCTAATTATATAATACGTTATTAATAATATAATAAGAATATATTTATAACATGTTCTTAAGATACTTATACGCTTTTACCCTAGAGTATTAGTATTTATACTAGCTTGCTAGCTAGCTATTAAAGAATAGTAAAGTTGTAGGCCTGTTAAGATAGATAGACTAGCAGGAGTATTATACCTGCTAGAATTAGAATAATTTAAGAACGTGTTCTTAACGTGTTACCTATATAGCCTATATAAGCACCTCTTCTCTTATTAGGTAAGAGCTATCTTTATATTACTAAACTAGTATTATATACTTATACCCTTAGCTATATAATTAAGGGTATACTAGGAGAATAGCTATATACTTAATAATTACTAGTATAAGTAGTAGTTCTTAACTATTACTATAAGTAAGGTATATATTATGCCCCTATAATGTGTTACTAACCTATTCTAAACTTGTTCTATTTACTTTTACTTACTTCCTTAACGCTACTATTACTATCCTCCTCTAGCACTTTATATAGTTGCCTAAATTTATCTCTAATATTACTATCTAGTTTAGATATATTATCTAGTACTACTATACTAAACTCTAGTATAGTATTTAGGAACGCCTATATATTATTAAGAATAGGTTTAGAATATATTTAAAAAAGATAGTAATAAAAACTATATTTATTTACTTAAATTACCTTAATTTATACTTAACTATAGGCTAGTTTATATAACTATAAAAATTTGCCGCTGTGACGTGGACTTGAACCTACAGGGATATTCTAACCACTCGGAGTAAAGCCCAAGTCGCCCGACGCTAAACCCATGGTCATATGACATGCCACCACGATTACGCCCGGTGTCTTTATCGAACCCTTGATCGCAGGTCACAAAGTCAGCATGGTACGACGGTGCTATAAATACTTGCGGTCAGATATGAGGGGCGGTGGATGGAAGTAAGCAATATAGTATAGTAGCCTTTGGTTATAGATACACCTACTCTAGTATGCTTACTGTGAGGTAGTTGTAAGTTGCGTGGTGGAGAAATCATCAGAACTTTGTCACGACAACACCGCGGGTACGGCTCCGCAAGCAACTGATTGGACGGTCAGCGGAGAGCTTCGCCTAGCCTTTGGCTGCGTCACGAGGAATAAGTATTGTTTGGCCATGTGTGCTGACAGCATGTGAAGATCGCAATGAGGGGCATTTAGCGGTCTGTCAACAGAATGAAGATGGCGGAGAGACTTGTTGCCAGAATGTCAACGTTGTGAAAAATGCCGGACGCTGGACAAGAGAGGTACGGTAGAGGTGTAAGTTAGGGAAGTAGATGGGTTGGGATTACTTTTACTCATCAAATATTTGACAGTAACAGTCCATTTCACATAAGACACGCATCTCAGGTCCTCAGAAAAAAAAACACGCTGTACTCAAAGCCATTGTCAGAAAAGTCATAATTGATCAAGCCTTACTTCTGTATCCTTCCCGCATATTTCCTCAACTCCCCTATGCCTTACCCAGATACAAAGCCTGGGCATTGCAGTAGCTCTTCAGCCCACCAACACCCCACTCCGCGCCGACACCACTCTCCTTGTGTCCTCCAAACGGCACACGAGGGTCCAGCTCCAAGTGTGTGTTGACCCAAACACTACCCGCCTCGATATTCCTCGCCACGCGGTTCGCACGCTCGATATTCTTCGACCAAACGCTAGCGCCCAAGCCCATGGGGGTGTTGTTGGCCTGCGCAATGGCATCGGCTTCGTCAGTGAAGGTGAGGAAGGGCACGATGGGGCCAAAGGGCTCTTCGACCACGATTCTTGATTTCGAGTCTGGGCGCTCGATGATGGTGGGTGTGATGAAGTAGCCTGGGCCGGAGGGGACCTTGCCACCGGTAGCGACTTTCCAATTCTCCTTTTCGATGTCGGAGATGAAGCCTTTGACGCGCTCGTATTGCATGGAGTTTTGCACCGGGCCGAGGAAGACGTCGGGCTGGTTGCCGGGACCGACCTTTTGGAGATGATGTTAGTTCATACTTGGGTGAATTGGGACGATGAACAACTTGCCTTGAAGGCTTCAGTCTCCCTGACGAGGGCCTGGAGGAACTTGTCGGCAATGCTTTCTTGGACGAAAATGCGCTTGAGAGCCAAGCAGATCTAGATTGTTTTGTTAGTTAACGACCACCGGTTGTGAAAAGAGACTCGTAATGTACCTGGCCAGAGTTCAAGAAGGACAATGTGGCGATCTTCTTTGCGACTTCGTCAACATCGACGTCCTCGAATACGAGCGCTGGGTCGTTTCCACCACTGGACACCTCACGTTAGCACACTGCATCGGCTGTTCTTCGTACATGGGCCAAAACTTACAGCTCGAGTGTCACCCTCTTCAACGTTTTACTCGCACTCTCCATGACCTTCTTGCCCGTGAAGGTACTTCCTGTGAAACTAATCTTGGCTGGAACGGGATGGCTGGTCAACATGGGACCCAGATCATCTCCTCCACTGAGTGCTTGTAGCACACCAGGCGGGAAGAATCTCTGTGCCAACTCGACCAGCTTCAGACCTCCAGCTGGGGTGAAAGGACTTGGCTTGACGATCATGGTGCAACCGGTCAAGAGCGCAGGGGCAATCTTGCCAACAGCGAGGTGCATAGGGAAATTCCAGGGCACGATACCGACGGCAACACCGAGGGGAACGTAGCGCACGACTATGGTCTTGTTCTCTTCATCGTAGGTCTCTTCTGGGATGGAAAGCTTGCAAATGCTACGGATCCAGTGGACAGAGGCGTCGAGCTCGGCGCGTGCGAACATCAGCTACATCAATGCTGTCTGTCAGCCTGGGGTCTACAAGCAAGATGCGATAGTAAGGTGGGTGATTACATACCGGCTTTCCTTGCTCTGAAGTGAGCATCTGTGAAAAGTTCTCCTTCTCTTCCTCCAGTGCGTCGGCATAGGCCTCGAGTGCCTTCCTGCGCTCGTCCCATGGAACCTTGGACCATGACTTGCCAGCTTCTGTTGCAGCCTCGCATGCGCGGTCAACATCTTCACGGGTTGACACTGGGACTTCTGGGCCATCCTCTCCGGTTGCAGGGTTGGTAGAATGACGAGTCTGCTTTGTGGACTCGAGCTTGCCATTGATGACATTGCGGAATGTCTTCCAGTCAAGAGGCTCAAACTTGGCCATGATTGCTGATTCAATGAATGGGTATCTTTGCTCTGAAAAGTTGGTATGAGCAGGGAAAACTAAAGGAATGGGGATCAGGGCAGTAGGAAGGTTTGGCACGCATTCGAGACCATCCGATTGATTTATACGCAGACAGTTACCCCTCCTCCCATGTCGAAGTGGGGTATGCCTCGGTGGCGTCAACACACCAACCCACCCAGATTCTCGATGCGGAGCAACCGGTACACAGGCACGGCTAGTAGAAGGTTAGCCTGAATCCACGAAAAACTGTGCGCCTAGTCTAATACAGTTACATTCGGTTCAAAAAAGGCGGTTTGCTTTGCAACAGTGAGTGAGTTGAAGTTGCGCCTGTTTGTGCCAACGCATCATGTAACACTCGCTGCGAACATGAGTAGATCAGGGGTGAATTGTATACTCTACTTTGCTCCCTCCATGCACTCATCATGAGATGTAGGTATTGCATGGCGAAGGACGATTTGTATCACCACGACTAGGTAGGAGTAGGCACCGGTAGAGAGAGAGCAGATGAAGGGATGACTAATACCTACATGGCCAAGAAGTCGAATCTTAGCATGACCAACCAATCGTCCCCCTTTGACCTTTGGATGATTATATGATCAAACTCCCATAGGGGCCGGCAATTGGTTCGGCCCCGTACTCTACATGGCTTCGCTTGTCTTCTGAACATTCTTGTTCTTTTTTGTGTAGCCGACTCCAGTGGCCGTGCTTGGCCGGGCGGGTCCAGCCCACATAGCCTTGCGGGACCATGGCCATCTTTGGACAGCGTGCGGAGGGAAACAGTTCATGAGGTTTCTACAATCACGGGGTCCCATGATTTGTTGCATACTATTCTATCTTTGCGGGGTTAGCTGTGTCGCTTCTCCACAGTATCGTATCGTGGTGCGCGGGGAATCATAAAGAAGGTGAAAATAAAATGACCGGAAAGTAGAAGCTTCTCGAAAGCAAATTACTTCAGCTTTTACACTAGAATCACCCTTTTATCGAATACTCCATTCATCCGCACACCCATACAAGTCTCCATACATAGATCAATGTACAAAACACCAACAATCTTAACCGCATGAGCACACCTCAGGGACCAGCAAAAGGTTGAAGAAAAGTCATCCCCATTTCATCAAGAGGTTCGCGCCATCTTGCAGGGCTCTTCTCTTTTTATTTTGCGCTCTCCTCTTTCCCCACTGCTGTCTTTAATGTTCTTGTAGTTCCCTTCCGGTCTCCACGCTGATGACACAAATGAAATGCACTCCTTTTCGGAATAGTGATGATGCAAAACTGTGCGCCCTAGTTTAGATCAGTAGCACCAAATGACGTATAAGAAGGAGCCTCCTCGTAACGGGGGAGCGAATCCGCGGAATCTTGGTGATGAAGGGCCGACCGGGCTTGACCTGAGTGCCCAGATTGAACAGAGCCACGGGTGATGGGTGCAGCGTCTCCCTGATATAGCGCAGCAGGTTTCCGCGTACGTGAAACGTAGACTTGAAGAGGGATGGAGAGGCGGCCGTGTGTTCCGGACGAGGTGAGCGGCGGTGAATAGGTAGGTGGAGGGGTAGAATCAGAAGATGCAAGAGAGCCATTTGGAGTTATGGCAGTCGAACTGTTCACATTCGAAGCCTGGACGAGCCCTCGAAAAGGATGGACACGCGAGGCGCTCGTTGCACGCGTTTTAGAGAAAAAGCATCCATATTTGCAGTCCAGAATCGTAATTACAATCCCGATGACTACGACAGGAAGCACGATACCGAGAGGGAACACCCAACTGGGGCCCTGCCAATAACCGTCCTGATGACCTCCATCTTCCGTGTGGTGTTCTTGGCGTGGAGTGAGGGGCATCCTTAAGAGTGGTGGTTGTGATCTTGGTTCCGCAGGGTTGAAGTTGAGTGTGATTCGCAATCGTGGTTTCGTAGGATTGAAGTTGAGTGTCATTTGCGGCGGAGTCATAAAGCTACCTCTTTGAGGTGGCGATGCTCCGCTTGCTCACAGCAAACGCGCGGACGCACAGAGACGCATCGTATACGTACTGCAACAGACCACGTATCGCGATCGCAGAGGTATCAGAGCCATCGTCATGCATGATTTTTTACATTGAGACTTCTTTGACCGCGACTTGAGCGCTGTTACCACTACCGCTCTTCCGCCTCATGTGGTATGTCACAAAGTTGGAACCGTGACTCCTGGGTACCACGGGGCTAATCGAGCCCTGCGGAGGGAAGTAGTCGACCTGTTCCTCGGCCATATATGGAGTACGCGCTCTGCTCGGTGAAGGGCTTCGGTGTAGATCTTCGAGGTCGAACACCCATCGTTCGCGCGGTGTGAGCTCTGCTGACAGTTTGCCGTCGTGCTGCCGTGAGCTGTTTATCGGAACATTGAGTCTTGCATTTAGATCCAACGACAAAGCTTCTTCTTCAGTCTCATCATCGCCCAACTCGACTGTTTCGGTCAGTTTTATGACGTCACTTGGTGCATACATGTCTGTTGCCTGAGTGGTAAAGCGAGTTGAAGGTGTTGGTCTGACTCGGCGGGTCGTATCTACGGTCGGTGCGGATGTCCAGGCAGAGATGAGTGCGAATGGTAGACTCCAGTAGACAACAACGCCGCGAACAAGGACAATAAGAATGGAAGAAATGGTTGTGAAGATGCCAAAGATGGTGAGCGGAAGGGCAACCACGAGTAGCACAGCCCATAACAGAGTATGCAACAGCGGGTTGAGCAGAAACAGCTCGAAGCTGGCTCTCGCTATCCGGCGGATCATGTTGATCTTTGTTGGGAGGGATGGTGTTGGAGAACAGAAGAGGGTTTGGTTGACGTGTGCATGTGAGAGGCTGCGGGGATGCCAAGCTTCACACCAGCCACAACCTTCCCCAGGCGTTCCAGTCCTGACAAGCGGGCATGGGCACTTCAACGCGATCAGAACCAAGATTCTGCGTGAACTTGGAGGAGAGATCGCGTTGCGACGCGTGAAGCTTGGGGCCAGTGCTGTGAACGTCAAGGCAGAGATGATGCTGGCAGCATTGCGTCCGTCTCAGTTCGGTGCAGGTGTAAAGCGTCTCGCCGTCTGTCTTGCCGGCGAAATCCCGATCCCAATCAGCAACGCGCTGAGGCTCGTGCCTTTGAAGATACTCTCGTACTGTTCAATCTTCAGACTGGTGCTAAAGGGCGAACGGCGGATGCGGAGAAACGTGGCTCCTGTGACGGCAAGCCACACACCGAAAAGAGCTTCGTAGCGGTATTTGGAGAGGGCAGACTCAGAAACGCTGGCAGACATGGCGCTGAAAAGTAGGAGTAGAGGTGGCAGGACCTGGGGGCTCGGTGAGAGTGTGGTGGGGATTTGTGTAGGAGGGCGGCAGAGTCAACCTCTGTTTTCAAGCAAAGATGGGCCGGGAAAATGACGTCTCCGTGATTCACGCTAATGTGGTTGTGGTGCGATCATGGTTGCACCACACCATCGCCTCACGAGACTTTATACACAACACACAACAACATTCTTCACGAACCACGCCAGACTTTTGGAGGCGTATTGCTTGCGCGACTTGCGACTATCGCTCCGAAGAACAAAGTCATTGGGAATAGTTTTTTTTTTTTTGGATGCCGGCATGCATCGCTTCTTCACACCGCCATGATACTCTACTACGAGGACGGTGATGCCCGTAAAGTAAATTGGGCACTACGACTGGGGTAGAGTAAGACACGAAACCTCACCGACTTTCAAACGATTGGCTACAGTGCTCCATGTCCAACGCCTCATTGTCTCGTCCCACACTGTGTTTGTATCTCCAAACTTTGTGGGTATTGTTGATACACATCTCAGTTTTCTTGTCTTTGTCCATTCACAATTCATTCTGGCCCAACATATCAAGGCATTTCCCCACTTCACCATGCCTCACTCATCAGTTGTGATCACCGTGTCAAGCAAGTACCGCAACCTTTCTGATCAAGTTGGCTTTGGGAAAACTCATACTGATTGACACCTCACCAATCACTAAAATGAAACCCATAGAAAAGATCAACTGGCTGACCGTAGCAGTCCGCAATCTCGTCTTGCGTTTCACTTCTCGACTTGGGAACTGCTGCCGCTCTAACCGCAAAAAGGAGTCTCTCCTCCCCATCACCTACAACCATGAACCTCGTCCCGCGTTCTCAGACCGCCATCTCGCGCACCTACGCGACTGGCAGAAACCCCCCATTTCCTCGGGCGGAATCCTTCCTCTCCGTCTCGGTCAGCCAAAAGCCCAATATCCGCCCCACCCTCCCATGATAAACCTACAGATCCCAGCCCTCGCCGTTCCTGAAAATTCTCACCAGCCCCAACGCCCGTACCACAAGATCACCTGGCAGCAATTCCAAGACCGCAAGCGTGATCGTGACCCCATGGCTGATGAGTATCATCGCCGTGTCCGTGAGAACTGGCAGCCTAGTAAGCCGCTAAACTACGCGTACTGGAAACAGTACGGCGAGGAAATGGAAGCGCGCAAGACGGTCTGGGAGAAGGTAAAGGATAAATGGTTTAAGCGCTTTCCTAGCAAAGAGCGTGAGATTGAGTTCTTTTAAGCTGTCAAGTTCGAATATGGTCTAGGTAGGTTTTGGTTCGAGGTAAATGTCACAATCATCGTGTTGTCAAAATATCCTTTGGATTGTTCGCATAGCGGTAGGTTTTGGTCAACAGTATCCCTCGTAGCTAATCGCAAACCGTGTCGAATCCCGCCAAAGAAGCAATAAAAATCAGTCCTTCTATATAAAAGCTCATTTTCAAATAATCGTCTTCTCGCCCACAATCTCTACTATTATCCCTGACTGCGTAGCGAGACAGGCCATCTTCGAGCATGCCAATCTCATCCATCCTAGCCATAGTAACCAGAGGCCAGCAACAGCACGCCCAATCTCCAACACTGATGTGCAAGACCAGCCCCAACACAAAACACAAAACACAAACACAACTACAACTACCCCAATAACACATCAACCAATCAACCAACCAACCAACCAACCAACCAATACCTACACCAATCCCGCACTAACAAACTAAACGCCTCAATCGTCACACACCATATTGATTGCGCGCCACATCTCGACATATACTCTACACAGTACACTGAGCTGCTCCATCCGGGAACATGGTAGACATCTGCATGGAACATGTACATGAACTCGAACATTCAGAGCACCACTGCCACTTTCTCCATGTCTGGTCCTGTACTCCTCGAGATTATGTACAATTTCATTTCATATCGGATTGCGCGGCGGAACTATGAGTGCGCCGTTTCCCGTCTTCCGTCTTCCGTCTCCCTCTCCTCAATCACTTCCCCAAACCCTACCTCCCCCACCCCTTCGCCCCCCCCCCTCTTCAACCCCCAGTTCTCACGCCTCAATCCGAATGCCATTCACTAGCATTACTCTCGCCAAACTCGCTAATCATGTGCCTATTTCAAACGCGCAAGGAAAAAAATCACGTCAACGCAATCCCATGTCAAGTTTCAACATTAAAGAAGCAGAAAAAAAGGGGTTCAAGGAGAAAAAAAGTTGGGGTGTGAGGGAGTAGGGTGGGGAATAGCAGGGGAGAAGAGTGATAAAATAGTGTCTGTCATTGAAGTATTTTGGCCGTGGATACAGGCGAGACTGTTTAAAACGGATAGAAGCCAAATATTAAAAAAAAGAGGCGCGGGCGGAGAGACAAGGGCGATTAATAGGATTGAAAAGTGCAAAAAAAGGACAACAAAAACAACAGAAAGCAAGACTTACTCATCCCTGCCCTTTCCACTCCCACCTGCCTCACTGCTTCCCGCCGTCCCTGCAGCCGCTCCGGCTGGGCCCCCACTCTCGCGCCTCATACCCAAATTGCGCGCGTCCAGCCGGCCCAACCCACTCTCCTCCAACGTCTCCCCACCCCAGCCCTTCTCCTTGCCGGTCCCAGCAGAATTCCGCTCGAGCACAAGCACCTGCAACAAGTCCTTCAACTCGGCAACCTCTTTCCGCAGCGCACGCACCTCGAGCACCGCCGTCTCGACCTCGACATTCGGCCGGGTGTTTTGCACCTTCTTATCCCAGCCATCGGCCTCGAAGTCGCATTCACCGAGTATCTCCTCCCACTCCTGCACCGTGTCCTCGTCGTCCTCGCCCCGGCGCCGATTGTCTCGTACGACCCAGGCTTCTTTTTGCTCCATAAAGGCGGTGATGACGAGCAGAGGGCTGTAGATGACGGCCATGACGGCGTCGTTGAGTCGCTCGTATTGCTTGGATTCCATCCACCATTCAAAGGGCAGAATCAAGAAGAACATTTCAATGAGGTTGAAGGGCGCGATGAAGACGTTTTCGTCGGGGGCGCGCACAAATTGCATGGTCTTTTGGCTGAAGAGGGCCATGTATTCGTCAATTGCGTTTTCGGTAATGTCTTCGTAGGCCGAGTTGTAGAGGGCGATGAGGATGTTGAGGAGGATGACCATGACGACAAAGGTAAAGATGTAGTAGAGGATGATTCCAAAGGGGGGCTGATGATCAAGATTAGCTGTGAAGATGTGTCTGGAAAGTGGAGTGGGATGCGAGACTGGTCATTGTGGATGAAGGGTGATGTGGGAGACTTACGCTGAAGTTGTCGAAGCCTTCGAATTCCGGACTCTGCATGACAGCGTTGAGCATGGCTTGGATGACAAAGGGGACATCGTCCGCCAAAGAATCATCTGCAATATCCAGACCCAAAAAGGCCTGGAAGAATCCGACCATGACCACAACCAACAGGGCAAAGAAGATCAAACTCTCCCTCATCATCACCTTGAGCACCACCAACATGGCCCCGAAGAAGCGGAAAGTATCGAGATACAGCAACAAGCGCATCCAGAACATGGGTGCCGTAAAAGCCAAAAAGTCATATGACTTGCGGTTCCAAATCTGCCGTGCATCGCTGCCAAAATCATTGGAGAGAGCAATCATGCGCAGGACGAAGGAAACGCTGAGCAGGGCATACAGCGTGCTGTTGAACATGTTCCAAAAGGAGACATAGTACCGTCCTACTTTCCGGAACTTGTTCGCCTCATCGCATATGAAGCCGACTGTGAAGATGTACAGCAGGCCTTCCACCACGTCCAAATCGCCCATGGGATTGATGGTGTTGATGGCACCAGTATACAAGCCAAGGAAGATGACGGAAATGGCGATTTGCACAAAGTTCTGATAGCGGGGTACACGCATACGATCCGGATCCATGTGCGCCCAGTAACTGGTGTTGGTCTTGTTTTCGTAGTTTACAAAGCGCGAAGGGTCGTCGTCGTCTTGGACGACCCAGCCACGCCAGAGGTAGGATATGCATTTCTGATAGCCCGAGGAACCGATGACGGTCAGCGCGTGGAGATCGACGGCCTTTTCAATGGCGTTGGTAGGGACGGTTGGTTCCCCGTTGACAAGGTGCGAGTAGCGCTTGAGAAGGACCTCTTCAAAGAGATAGTGGGTATCCTCTTCGGCTTCGATGAGACGCTTGGCCATCATCTCGGCGGCCACCGCGCGCACATTGTGAAGGTCGGCATCCCAGAGCTCGGCCACAGCTTGCTTCTTGAACCACTTCTTGACTACCAACAGACAAAAGACGACGCAGGCATTGTGCTGGGGTGCGCCGGCTTGCCTTGCCGTCTCCAGGACAGCATTGGTGATGATGGAGCTGTGGGGCTTGGTGACCTGCTCCTCCTCAAGTTCGCAGGGTATGACTTGTTCGATCTGGTGTTTGAGGCGCAGGGCGACTATGGTGACATCTTTGGGGTCAATGGGCGGGGGTGGCAGCTGGTCACGACGGCGCGCTGTAGGTAGGACTAGAAGGAGGTAGAGTCAGTTACACCCAAAATGCCAATGCTACGATATGCAGAACTTGTTCTTACGTGCGCTCATCTCATCTTGCACTCTGTGTCTGCGGTCTGAGCCATCGCTATTGATCAACCGGCTCCACCTTACCATGGCTGCGGCGGCGGAACTATCAAGAGGGGAGGGAGAGCTCCGGCAAGTAGGTAGCACGAGCTGAGAGCTCTCTGGCGAGTACCGGGACTACGTAGGTATCAAAGCTTTGGTAAGAAGCCTACCACAACAACAACAACAACAACGACAACAAAAAACAAAAGCGATGCCAAAGCCCACAAAGCCAAGCGTCGTCAGCCCACACCTGCTTTGTTGGCAGTTGTTGCCCAGCGTTGCGAACTTGGAAGGGAAGCGGCGCTAACTAACGGCCTATACAGCGCGTTACTCCACTCTGTGACAGGGGATCGCGGCCTCATCCGCACGCTTTTCTTCTCCCGCCCCACGCGAGAAGACGGTGACGCCCAGGGACGAAGATGGCCATGGCGGGAGGGAAGAGGGGAGGTGGGGGGGTTCATTTGACACATACAACATGCACTGGACAGTGAGACTAGCTGAACTATCTATCTCCTTTCTCAAAAGACCAGAAAAAGAAAAGTCAAAGGGATCAAGGTGAACATGTTTTCGTACTTGAGCTCTGCTCACCCATATCATTCATCCATACTAAACAGCGTCAAATCCATCAACAGCCAATTGACGCATGTTCTCTTGAAGTCTCACTCTCGGCCTCGTCCTCTTCCTCTTCCTCGCCCCTGGTCTTTCACTATGCATGTAGAAACCACCCTCGCCCAGTGATACCACCGCCGACCTCAAAACTCATACTTCATACACATAACACACTCATAATCCATCCATTTACCATCCCGTTCTCCTCTCTCAGAAAACGCCGGATAAGTTACTTTTCAATAATGATGCAAGTACCCGTCCCAATCCTCCCAAAAGCGTCGATATCCCCCTTGTATCTAATCCGCCTCGGCGACACCACCCTCATCGCTCGTGCTCTCGTCCTCGTCACCGCTGACCTCCTGGTTCTCGCGCTCACGCTTCTCCATCAAGGCTGCGAGCTCTGCGTCGTCGTTCTCCGTGACGGCCTTGGGTGCCATGCGCACTTGGCAGTCGCCGCCTGCTTTGGCAATGTTCTCTTTGATGTCCACAATAGCTTGTTCGAGCGAGGCGATACCGGCGTTCTTGTCGAGGCATTGCGAGGTGAGTACTGTACATTTATATTAGAATGGCTCATCGAAGTGGTAGGACTGCATATTCATACCGTAGAGAGGGGGCGACACGAGCCTGACCTTGACCTGGTTGTCAGGCGTGTTCTTGGCCTCGGCGCAACGCAGCGCATTCTTGACGGCGTCGATACCCTCGTAGCCGAAGCAGGTAACTAGTGATATATTCAGTAGCCGAAAAAAAAACTTTACAATGGGATCTCCATACCCTCGATATCTGAGCGGACCTTGGTAGGTTGCGGTGTCAACCTCTTGCCAATGTAGCTTTGTAGCTCATCCCTCACGACATCGTTGGGGAATGTGACATCGTTCCAGACCTCAGGATTCGTAATGCTGAGCTTGAACGCATCAATCGAGTGTCCGTACTTCTTGTTCAGCGGCCAGCCAATGCTCTGGTAGATCTCCTCAATGGGTGTCTGTGTCTTCTCGGCAACGTGGCGCATGATGCTGTGCACCATCTTGGACTTATTGTACCGCTCCTCGCACTTGACAATGTCCTCGGGAGACACTCGGCGCTTCGACAGATCAATGTAACCCTTGTCCTTGTCCACACGCAGGACGACAACCACTTCGTTGCGACCGACACGAATGAGCTTTTGGATGGATCGAATACGTCTTCGCGACAGTTCAGATAGAAGAATCATGCCGTCGATGTTGTCTGTAATTTATTAGCCTCTCCCCTTAGCCCTCTATGCTGTTGCTGCTGCTGCCACCCACCGTATTCCAGTAGCTTGACGTATGCGCCCATCTCTGCAATCTGCTTGACATTGACCATGACGAAGCTCTCAATCTCCGGGTACTTCTCCTCATAGAACCGACAGTTTGTGAGAGACATGATGGGTATGTACTCCTTCTCTTCTCCTTCCCGAAAGTTTTGTCTTTTCCGAGTCCTGCGACCTTTCTTCTAGTGGGGTCGCTTTTGGCGAGTTCTGGTTCGCGTGATAGCGGGCAGTGGAATCAATCACAGCAGGTTCTTTGGGAGAATCGAGGGTGAGCTTCAGTGGCCACTTTCCGTGGATCGTCGCGTGTCGGGCGGTGGTGTGAACTTTCGTGGTTCCGTGACTCAAAGATTTGCCCACTGTGTGAGATCAATCTGTCGTGGGGCAGATACGCTAACACCAATGCACACTAGCGTGGATTGCCTTCCCCTCAGCCGCATCCACATGGCAAAGACGACATCGAAGCCTTGTCTTAGTAACTTGCAGGCATACCATGGTCAACAGCAATCGCCCACCTCTTGTTAATTATCATGTTTTGATATCTTTCCTCAGAGATCCCAATCTACAACACACATCACAGGTCACCTCCAGTCACGAAAGGGAAGCAAGCATAAAGTGAAGTTTCACATGTCGTTCATTAGACACTACCATACCGGTATTCAGTCCCGTATCTCAGTCAAAGCCTTGACAAAGGCCGACTACGTTCAATATCCATAAGTTTCATCTTGTGCCAAAACGTGGTCAGATCGCAATGCTTTTAATCACACGAGCGAACTCAAGGATCAGCAAGCCATCCGTGTCTCACCACTTCAGATGCCAAAGACAGCAGCTGCAACCGCCACTGCGAGAGCAGCGAAGCCGAAGTTGACACCCGAGGCCGCATTGAACTCAGGTGGGAAGGTGGCGCTCGCAGTCGGCTTGGGTCCACCGGTGCTGGCTCCAGAGGTGTGGTTGGGTCCTGCGGTGTGAGTGGTCATGACAGTGGAAGCTCCATGGGTAGGCAGCGCAGTTCCAGATGGTACGATGACGGTGCTGTTATCTGGGACTGGGAGGACTCCCGTGGGCAGTTTAGACTGGCGAGTTGTTGTCAGTAAAGCAGTTCCAGAAGCGAACTGTAGGCAAAACCTCGATATACTGGCGCGGCAGCGCGCAGATTTAGGCTACATCAAGGAGGTACTTACAGGAATTGAGGTCTGGATCGTGAAGCCGTCCTCGATGGTGCCGGAACCGAGGTACGTGGCGGTGGTAGACTCGCCGTTAACAACAGTGGCAGTGATGGCGGTGGTCACCTGAGCAGTCATGTTAGTAACTTCCAGGCGCTCGCTCGCAATGAGTGTGTCTTCTGAATACCTACAGTAACGGTGGTACACGTAGTGGAAGTAGACTCGCTCGAGGGACCATCAGCAACAGTCGTCGTAGACAGCACAACCGAGGTGACGATCGGAGCCGGAGGTTCGACAAGACTCGAGCTGGGCGCAGGCACGACGTCTGAAGAGAAAGTCGTGCTAGTAACCGCGACATTGGCGAAGCTGAACGCAAAGAGCGCGAGCATAGAGGTGGAGAACTTGGCCATTGTGGTTGACAGACTTCTTCGTTGCTTTCGCTTGAGTTGAGAAGGTTGGGCTTGCCAAGTCGGTCGCAGAGAGAGATGGGTTGGAGGAACAGAGATCGAGTCGAGTAGGCAGTGGATAAACGAATGTGAGAGTGTGGAGGAAGAAAGACAGAGGTGAGGCAGGCAACCGCGCAAAAGATGAGCTATTTGTTTGCTTCGCCAGCGCCGCCGTTTGTGCGTTTTGGGCTCGTGCTCAATTTGATATGAGCGTGCAACCGAAGACGCGCCAAGGACGCGCTGTTGGGAGGGAAAGAGGAAGGAGCGCTTTGTTGCTCTGTGAAGTGCGCTTTGTTGTCAATGCACTTTCACGAGCACACAATGGACGGTCCTGATTAGATCCTAACCATCCTCTTGTCAAAGGAAGCACACTAGCGAGCGCAAGAACATTGGGTAACGTGTAACAGGGTGACCGACAGGGTGACCGACTGGTTGTTGGTAACATTCATGATAGGCCAGTCTGGAGGGCGAACAAATTGTTGCAACCTGAGCACATGTGGAGCTAACAGTTATGGCCAGGACATGTGGATGAATGGCATTAGTAATGTGTGTATGTACGCGTACTATTGGTGTTGTGAACTCGAGAAGGTCGAGGAGAGTTTGCACACCTTGAGACCGCCAGCGCTGTACAAAGTTACCAACCATCTTCCTATCGTGGACTCGCGGACCGTCCTACTCAGCGCTCCTCTTGTGCATTACTACTCCCATTAGTCTGTCCACTCTCCTCGAGTCTGAAATCGGCATTGTCGCTCTGCACACGTTCGATTTCGTTCTGAATGGCGAGCACCCAGTGATCGCGCTCTGCCCGTGATCTGGCGCGAAACACCATGCTTCTGCCCTTACTACCAAGCTTGGCCACGCGCTTCATCTTCGTTCTTTTGCCCTCCTTGCGGCTCTGCTCACCGCCGCCTGCGCCTTCCTCGGCGCGGAACCAACTCTTTGCCTTGCCGTGCCAGATGACAAAAGTGGTCATGACGTCTTCATCGGTCGACGTCCAGCCATCTTCCAGGTAGATGCGGGGGAGAGCATGGTGGCCAGGTTTGTTCGCATCGAATGTCTGGTTTTGATAGAGAAGGTCGCTCTCAGTCAACAGGCCAGAGTAGATGTAACAGTCTTTGAGGTCGAGGTTGGCGATGCGCTCGTGATGAATGTGTGCGAGCTGTTTACCCACTCTACTACGTAGAACGTCTCGAAACATAATCAGTGTGCCCGCTGTGAGTATGACGCTACAGCGAGTGAAGGGTGCATGGATGCGCGGCTTGCGGTACAGCATACCACTCATATGTATACTTCGGCAGCAAGCAATACCACACATGTTGTAGAGTTGTGGCGAGGCATAAGACTGCGTCACCTCCCACTTGCGTGCGAATTGTCCCATCATAGCTTCGCCTTCTTCGTCAATATTAAGGGCGCTGAGATTGCGATTGCGGGTTGCTTTGTAGAGTGCAATGTCTGATGCTGTACGGTGCTTCCAGTACTTGACAAGAGCACGTAAATGCCATATCCACTCTTTCCGACGAGCTTTGTCTGCAGCTTGCAGGCGGATGATGAGACCATTCTTCATCACCAACTCAAATGTGCGGTCGATATCAATTTCTTTTGAAGTGCCATCTTCTCGTGTTGACTCATCAATGTCTTCGTCAAAATCAACATCTGAGCCATCCTCGAGATCGTCGTCCACGGGGCTCGCACCAATCATGGCCTTGCGAACCTTAACAACGTTGGCCAAATTGATGTATCCGTCACAATCTAGGAGATTCTGCTCTTTACGTTGGGCTTCGTCCGCCGCATCCTCATCGTGGAGTCTGCGAGCCTCGGTGGTACCCGAGTGTCCCTCAAGCAGCCATTCAATCTGGTCGTCCTTCAAGGCAAAGGGGTTAACGGCCCAACTGTCAGGTACGTTCTCATTGACTGCTTGTGCTGTAGGAACTGTAGCGTTATTAGACGCCGGAAGTTTGGGTGGCGGCGGTGGTGTTGCTTTCGTCGGCCGCGAGAATACAAAAAATTGATCGTGGCTAGCAAAATAAAGCTGCTTGTGGTACATGAATCCCATTCGTCTTGCGCGACCTTGTTGGCCGGTCAATCTGATGAGAAAACCCTCGACTGGAACTGGCTCGGTCAATGTCTTGTGCTTCTTCCGCGTCACTGCTGTCGTCGGATAGTGTGTCTTGGGTCGAAGCTCAAGATCATGCGACTTGAGCATCGCGATTGTGCCGTACATTTTGCGTTCATTGGCACCATGAATCCACTCTAGCCGATCATAACGTTTCCAAGCCAAACCTATGGGATGGTTCTTCATCCATTCCTCTAGGACATCTCGCCATTGTGGGGCGTCATGCAATTGCTTCAGGCATTTTCTGATGAGCTGGCCAGCCACAGCTTGTTCCTCTTCCATGGTCTTCATTATGGCTTCCTCGGTATTCTCGGCGTTCTGCACTTCATTTTGTGATGCTTCCAGCTTCTCAAAGGGGTTCACAATTTGAACACTCAGGCCCATGTCTGGAATATTAATCTGAATGTCCGTGGAGCGGCGCCAGCCAAGAATGTTGCGAAGAAAGGTATACCATTCGGAAGCATTGGAAGCTGTGCGAGCTTGCATGATGAAAATCAACGTATCGCGCCGGCCAGGTGCAGTAATCACAATTGACTTGTCCAGCGAAGAGTACATGTTGACTTTACTAGTCTTGCGACCCAGCTGAATCTCGTAAGCGGCTTTCTTGCCAGCGCCCTCATTTTCAATCTCCGGTATGACCTGCACCATTCAGCAAGTGATTGTGGTTGTTATTCCAATGAAGCTTACCCTTGTTTGATAGAGTTGCAGAACAAAATCTGAATCGTCTTTGTGACTATGGCGACACACAATCATGTATTCTCTCCACGTGTCCTTGACCTGTGAGACGACTCTCTGATTGACATTCTCATCAAACTCGTCTGGCACTTCGGCCGCTGTGTCGACTCGCACGAGCATACGCTCCATTTTGACCACTAATCCGTCTTTGATTCGCTGCCTCCTGATTTTTGAACCTGCGCGCTGAACCGTCATCTGCGCTTTCTTTGCCTTTAAGTGTATTGTAGCACGTCTCGAATCTTCTGGGATGTCGAACTTGACGAGGTTCCTCAAGTTCGACTTCTTCCTCTGAAGATGGTCCGCATTTGGTTCTGCATCGTTCAACGGGCCCGATTCTGATGAACTGATTTCTGACCTTCTCTTCACTCTGGTCATTATACCTTTGGCGGGCGGCTTGGAGTTGGCATCAGCGGGGGCCGGTGCCTTGTTCACGTCAGTCTTGCGAAGCAGAGATGAAGTAGACCCGGCATCTACCGAGCTTCCGCCAACAGTAGACACGGATGCGTTGTGACTGTCCGCTTCAGACAATGGTCGCTTGCCCATATATTTCTGGCTCGGTCCCTTGTTGTTGGGAGGAACTTGTAAGCCACTTGCCTGTACTGGGACCTCTTCTTGTCGCGGTGCTTTCTTCTGTGAGCCTTCAGGCTGTTCATTCTCTTCATTCTCATCGCCATTGTCGTTGCCATCATCCTTTGCAGCGTTTGGTATCGATGACGCAGTCACAAAGGACTTGGTGCTCGATCGACGTGGTGCTTGGACCTTGTCAGGATCGAATTCTCTTTCCTCGTCGTCTTCAGGTTCCGATGGCGCATCAACAAAGGCCTCACTCTCGTCATCCACTAACACATCAGCCTCCTGTTCTGAGCCACGCGGTATCTGCAAAGCCGGTGGTGAAGTGGCCGTCGCAGCTACCTCCGCGCCAGCGCCATTGCCCCTGGTAGTCTGTGCACCTTGCTCGTCCTCTTCTACCTCCAATATCTTAGGCTGTGGGAAGCTGTGTTGGAAAAGGGCAGAGGAACTGGGGCCCTCGAGACCGCTGAGCCGGCGTTGGCGAGCTTCACGGGGATCAGAGGTAAATGTGGCAGCGCGTGTCGAGTAGTTGATGCGCAAGTGGTGCTTGTACCAGTCGCGACGGTGCTTGTTGAGCCATGATGTCTACAGCTGTACATGAGTGCTGCGGGCGCGAGAGAGAAGAGGGCATCAGAACATACAGGAATGGGCCCGATGAAGAAGCGCCTGGAGGTCAGGTAGAGATGCTCAGGCGTCGCATGTTGCTATATACATTAGTCACACATGGAAGCTACTCGCAAGACCATCTCTCAATCGCATACCAGCTTCTGCGCCGTATATGAATGCGGGGGCAGATTGACAGCATCTGGCTCACCAAGCCATGACAGCGGTTGCGCCTCAGACATTGGACCTCTCCGAAGTTAGTTTGGCCGCGGAGGTGCGCTCACTGGCACGTCTGTCGAGAGGATGCACGCTTGTACACCAGGCATTGGGCGTGACAGGTAAAACACGGTTCTAGGGAAAGACTAGCGATACACTATTCACCAGGTAAACATCGAGGTCGTCGAGGAGAATCAGGAGTGGCAGCCACTACGGCCACGACAGGCGTGGTGGTGCTACTTCTAAGCAAAGCAGGGCCAGATGGATGGATGCAATGGGCAGCTGCGCAGCGTCATCGAAGCGCCACGCGCCACGCCAAGCACGCCAAGCCTACTAGCACAGACTACAGTACACACTACAACACCCCTGCGCCACTTCATCACCTCCTCTTCAACCCTCCACTGTAACAACGACGAAAGCGCCCATCTTGAGCTGTTTCTCATCCCCAGTTCACCCATGCTCCAGTCCCTGCACCATCTCCTGCACCTTATTGCATCTAATAACGCTAGGATCACTGTACATTTGCAAAGAAAAATGCCAACTAAAGTAAAAATCAACTCACAGAGAAAAAGAAATGAGACGACAGCGGAGATTCAATAATTTACCCTGTGTGGCTGAAATCTCTGTGGCTGTGCCTAGCCTACACAATCCAAGCTGGCCTAGACTTCACGCGATAGACCGTAGCGACCTCACACGTCTACAACTTCCAGGCTCATTGCGCCTCTAAGCGACACTATTTTGTGTCCCTGTGCAAGCTACAGATGCTTCTAAGCTTGCGCAAATGGGTGCATTTCTTGTGGGGATGTCTAAAGTCTGCAAGTAACCTGGTACAATGATCGCATCCAGCTGTCAATGCATCGCTAACAGTGGCTTCTATCTAGTTTGATTTCGTTACACCTCTTCTAGACAATTACTACGTACTACCGCGTCCAAGTATAGCCTTGCCATGACGGTGACATTATGGCCTATGAGTGTGAAATACTTCCTATAAAGCTGCTAATCGGTATAGTAGCCATGTACTATAGTGAGAGATTAGCATATGATTGCTCCTGAGATATGGAAGTACAGGTGAATATATATCCATTTTGAAAAGAGTGTGTTGTAGCTATTGGTAGTAGGGACTTGAGAATGCACTATACCCCATAACTATGTCAGTAGTAAACACCTTGTACTATGCTTGCCATTTTACGCATTTCCTACAAACGTGTTGTAGTTGTAGCTAGTAAGATGCTCTATGTATAAAACGTCCCGAGAATCATGTAAGAACCTCAAGTAATCGTAATACAAAGTGACGGATGTGTAAGGCTGTAAATGTAGGTTGTCTGAATACCTGAAATCTGTCTCTATATGCTAGCAACCCGATATGCTAAATGTAATCTGACATTACAAGAAGTGCGGATCTGCCAGTATAATCTCATCGTCAAAATAACGACGATTAAAATGTCTGGTGTTTCATGTCAGGAGTAAACTAATTACACTAGTTCTGTTCATATGGCAATTTGTGGATAGTAACATGCATTTAATTTTCTTAGCAAACTGGGTTGGATAGCACATGGAGAACGTAATTGGAATTAAACACAGTTTCAAGAGCGAAAAGGTTGATTGCTGACCTCATGAAACCAAAATTTGCATTGAAACCTTCAATGGATTGTCCGAGCAAATCATAGAGAAACCATTGCAGACTCTTCCCAGTACGTTGATGATCAAATATTACATTGCGCCTTGGAGAGAGTATCACGGGGAGAGTTCATGTGCAAAAACATGCGGCCGTCATGTCATATTCATTAGATGTAGTCTCCAAGAGAAACTGCACAGATCATCAGTCCCTTCCGTACCGGTAGATCGCTCCAAGAACAAGCATGGCGAACCTTGATTGCGCTGCTCCCTCCTCTGCTTAATAACTAGTAAACATAAAAGTTCACAGCATCCGGATTTGCCTCGCGAATCTTCTTGTTATCCCTCGAGAGCACAATCCTAAGAATCCACGCAATCACCACCGTTGCGGCCGAAAACGCCACGCTCGACCACATTGCAATCGGGAACCTCGGCGCATCGGAATCAGGCCATAGGTAGGGCGTGTACACGAACGAAAGATTGCCCAAGGTATTTACAATGGCAATGGCAACCGTCTTCTTCTCGTTTGTCTGGCCCATTGTCGCGGCGGTCCAGGCGAGGTTGATGTTGTTTACACCGTAGACGGCACCGACGAAGAGACACATGGCGAAGTAGCGCGCGCCGACGTTGAGGGTGGTGGTACCGATGATGAAGCCAATGATGGCGACGGCCTTGGAAGCGGTGATGTGCCAGGTGCGTTCGTTGAAGCGGCCTGAGGACCAGGATACGGCGACGGAGGCAAAGGCGGAGAGAAGGTATGGGGGGCATGTGAGGACGAGGGTGATTGTTGTGTTGAAGCCGAGGGTCTTGACGACAGTGGGCATGAAGTTTTTGAACCCGTTGGCGGAGAGACTGGGGTCGATGTTAGTTTGCGGGTCGGGGGTATGTTTGGTGGTATAGGTGTCTTACTGGAGATTACCCATGAGTGCGAATAGCCAGAGACGGTAGTCGAAGCAAGCTTCGCGTAGACCCTTCCAGACATTTGTTGCCTCGCGCTTCTCGGTGGTGTCGAGCGCGATGCGGTTATGTGCGAGTTGTCGCTCCTCGGGCGTGAGCCAGCGGGTTTGAAGGGGCGAGTTGGGGAGCGTGAAGAAGGCTAGGACGGCGACACCAACTGACGCAAGTTTAGCTTTGATAGGTTTGATGATAGGAAATAATTCTCACCTGTCACGACGCCCTGGATTAGGAATAGCCATTTCCAGCCCTTCATGCCTGGAACAGAGTTAGCGATATATCGGTTGTATTAGAAAGAGTGACTAACCATGCTTTCCATCAAGACCAGCAAATATACCTGCTGCAATGAGGCCAGAGAATGAACTAGCGAGAAGATTTCCGGTATAGAAGAAAGCCATGCGGGTTGCGGCTTCCTTGCGCGTGTAGAATTGACTGATCATGTAGATTGCACCAGGGTAGAATGGCGCTTCGACGATACCGAGAACGAATCTAAATAGTGAATGAGCATCGGTAAGGATACCAAGAGCGTGGTGTAGCTTACCTGCACGCGAACATGCCATGATAGTCCTTCGCCATAATAGGGAAGATAGACACAATGGCCCAAGCCAGCATACATCCGGCCATATACCACGATGGCTTGACTCTGTTTAGAATCATGTTGCTGGGGACTTGTCCTACCAGATACCTGTCAGGCAGTCAGCATTTGTTAAAGTGCGGCACGTTAGGATGGAGCTCGAAGCAGCACCAAGCGAAAATCTTCAGAGTCAGTTCACTTACCCAACGAAGAAGATGGATACACAGGTATTATACTCTGTGCCCTTCATGTTCAAGTCCTTGTCCAATCCGTTCAGCTTGCCGTTGATCATCGCGTTTCTGTCCAGAAAATTCAAAAAGTACATGAGCCAGAGAATAGGCTAAAATATCAGAGAGGTTAGTCGAGGTTTCGTATGCTTAGTTGAGACCACCAACCATCATGTAAATGTCGATTTTCTTGATCAGTGCCTTCTCCACCGGATCAATCTCAATCACTGCACCAAACTTGTCGAGCTTGGCCTCATCGTATCGAGGCTTGAGCTCAACCTCATTGACAACGTCAATGTGCTCAGAGGACGACTTGTTCTTCACGTCGGACGACGGCATCGTGGAAGTCATGATGCGTCCAGCAAGAGGAGGTCAGACTGGATGCGCAATGATTATCCATGCAGTACCCATCTCTTTATACACCTTGCACCATCCACGCCCCCCCCCCCCCATTGAATCTGGGGGAAGTAGCGTGTGCCCCGGCACGCGGGGTATATCCGGGGTATCATCTAAAAAACCGGGGATGGGATCCTACATGCGGGGTGCTTGGGCTGGGGTTACATCCAATGCCATCGGAATCCGCCCTCCAGCATGGTGTTGCAGTAATCCCAAGGCCATCGTAAGGCCGATATCCGACTCGTGTCGAATCTGATAGGTGGGCGGTGTGACCACATGCGCCCGGATTATGCAGCTATACCGGTACAGCGCACGAATCCGGCATGCCATCGTTTGCATAATCCGATGCAGGACATGAGTGAGTTATCGGTCCAGATGGGTGATAGCAGACGATGAATCAGCAATTGGGTTATCTTGGTAGTGGTCCTGTAGAGTAAGCCTGGGATACGATGATTCAACGATGAGAAGGCCATGCACCCTCTGTGTTCGTAGTAGCAGCTAGACTGCACAACTGCCATCTGATCAGATGCCAGCATAACTCTAGCACAGAGGTTTGCGTAAACTTGTGCTCAGGATTAGTAAGTCTTCGGCTGCAGTGTGATTGGTGGAACTTTGTGCGGGGGCGGAACGGCAACTCAGCCCCGTGTGCAAAGTGGATAACATTCTCCTCCGACACGGAAATCCGGAAAACGGGAGCTGTCCGGAAAACCTGGGCTGTCCGGATATACGATTGTGTGGTGTATATCACCCAAGCATGGCTCACATAATGCAATGTCTTGTGCAGTGCAAGTGTGAGCAACTACACTACCGCGCTCTCTCTACCCGTCAAGATGTCACAAACCGTTACCCTAACACGGAAGCTCGCCGTAACGGCCAACGACGATGAGATTTACACCATTGACGAGCTCATCAAACGACGTGCCGAAGAGCTAGGCGATGCTACTTTGATCGGATATCCGAAGGAAGACACTGTCGCAGACTATGAAGAATATTCCGCACGAACCTTGGATCGATATGCAGATGCTGCCGCCGAGCTTTTGCAACGCCAAGGCGTGAAGCCAGTGGTAGGTTGACACTGGAGTCATACCGGGTATTCCTAGGCTGACTGTGTCAAGGACTCGAGTCTAGATCAAGCTCCGGTTGTTGGCATCATAGCACAATCCGGACTGCACGTTATCATCACGACCCTTGGCTTGAGCCGGCTGGGTTATGCTGTACTTCTTCTGTCGACACGACTTGCAAGCCCGGCAATAAGTCGTCTACTAAGCCTTGCCAACTGCAGCACGCTCCTTACCACTTCCAGTTTCCATCCGGTGCTGTCTGAAGTTCAGAAAGAGCGCGCGGTTGAGATCCTCGACTTGCTGGCGCACAGCGACTATTGCAACTTTGAGGCCCCACGATTCGTCCGAACGTACGACCCTGTAAAGGAAAGACGGAAACACTCCATCATAATCCACTCTTCTGGATCGACCGGACTGCCCAAACCGATCTTCCTAACCCACATGAGCTGCATTGCAGCTTTCCAAGCAAACCTCGATAGACGAGCACTCATCACATCCCCCTTCTTCCACAGCCATTGTTTCTACGAGACGTTCCGGTCGATATACTCTGGAAAGCCGATTTACTACTGCAACTATGCGCTTCCTCTCACAAAGCGCAGCGTCGTCGAGATGCTGGAGCGTGCAAAGCCCGACCTATTCCACTGCGTGCCATACGTTCTGAAGCTTCTTGCGGAATCGGAAGATGGCATCGCAGCCCTCGCAAAGGTCGACTTTGTCATCTTTGCCGGAAGTGCGTGTCCAGATGATCTCGGAGACAAGCTCGTCAGGGCAGGTGTAAACCTGAACGCCAACTACGGAGCCACTGAAACAAGCAGACTGATGACCTCGGCCCGTCCAGCTGGTGACTTGGATTGGAATTACCTTCGCATACTCCCTCAGGTGCAACAATGGGTTCTCATGGACGAGATTGCGCCGAAGATCTACGAATGCGTTGCGCTCGATGGTCTCCGTTCCAAGAGCACCATCAATTCAGATGACCCTCCCCGATCATTCCGCACACGAGACTTGTTTACCCCCCATCCAACACGGCCTGGCCTCTGGAAGTATGTTTCCCGACTCGATGACAGGTTCACGCTGGTGAATGGCGAAAAGGTGCTCCCTGTGCCAATAGAAGGTCGCATCCGGCAAGAGCCCACGGTAAAAGAAGCCATCGTGTTTGGAGATGGGAAGACGGTTCCAGGTGTTCTCATCGTCAAGGATGAACGCGCTGCACATATCCCAGACGATCAGTTCCTGCAAGACATTTGGCCCGCAGTTATGGATGCAAACTCTCGCGCTGAAAGTTTCTCGCAGATACCAAAGGAGCTTGTTGTCATCTTGCCTGCTAACACTGTGTATCCTGCAACGGACAAGGGTACCTTCATCCGCGGTCTTACTTACACTCAATTCAAGTCGGAAATCGAAAACGCATATTCCAAGTTCGAGACTGAAGAAGAAGGCGGTGCACTCGCTCTAGACGGCCCAGAACTAGAAGCGCATCTGATGCAAAGATTCCAGGAACATACCGGTGTTGCGTTGGAATCAGTAGAGTCTGATTTCTTTGCCTCTGGTATTGACAGTCTCCAATGCATTAAGATGTGGAATTTGATCAAGAAAGAAATCGACCTTGGTGGTAGACAAGCTCAGCTTGGCCAGAACATTCTATATGAGACGGGCAACGTCCGAACGCTTGCTGCACATCTCGTCAGTCTACGCACTGGAAGTACAGACGTTGCGAAAGACCAGCGACGAATTATGAGTGATCTCATTGAGAAGTACTCCACTTTCCCGGTATTCCAGCCAACCAGTGGCAAGAAGGCTGAAGGGGAAGTCGTTGTAAGTGCAATCCGATTCGAACATACATATCAGTGCTTACGATTGTTTAGCTGTTAACAGGCGCCACTGGAGGACTCGGGGCCCATCTCCTTGCTCAACTTGTCGCCAGGCCCAATGTCTCTGCCGTGTGGAACTTGGTCCGCGCTTCATCTGAGGAGACAGCACACCAGAGAGTCATGGAAAGTATCCAGAAGCGCGGTATCACGATACCATCAGAACAGCAACATAAGATTATCGCCCTTCCCGCCGATCTAAGTCAACCCGATTTTGGCCTCAGCGCCGACAAGGTCTCCGCACTGCGATCTAGCCTCACAGCTGCAATACACAGCGCTTGGGCTGTCAACTTCAACATCTCCGTATCAAGTTTCGAGGCGCAGCACATCAAGGCTGTACACAACCTCATCTCGTTCTGCCAGTCGACCATCGCCCAGGAACCAGCACGATTCTTCTTCTGCTCTTCGGTGTCCGCAGCAGCCGGTACACCCCGGCCAGGCACAGTCGCAGAGAAGATAGTTGTTGATCCCGCGCACGTCCAAGGCACAGGCTATGCGCAGTCGAAGTTCGTTGCTGAGCACATAACCTGTAACGCGATGAAGAACGCCGGTGCTGCCTCTCGCGTCCTCAGGGTCGGCCAACTCATCGGCGACACTACGGTTGGAGAATGGAATACAACGGAAGGTATTCCACTGATGATCCAGACCGCGGTTACGCTCGGTGCGCTGCCCGCCCTAGACGAAGAGATGAGCTGGCTGCCAGTCGATGTTGCAGCGAGCATCATCCTAGACGTTGCGCTCGCAGAGCAAGGTTCCTCGCCAGATCCAGAACTGGTGCACCATGTGTTGAATCCACGCCGCTTCCACTGGACACGCGAAATGCTACCCGCACTACGCGAAGCCGGCCTGAAGTTTGATGTGCTCCCTACTGATCAGTGGATGGACAGGTTACGAACCTCAGATCAAGATCCAGTGAGAAATCCTCCTATCAAACTGCTGGATTGGTTCGAGAGCAAATATGGACGTACATCATCGCCAGCGAAACAAGGGGTCTTGGAGTACTTGACAAAAGAAACGGAAGCTCGGAGTGCGAGCTTGAGAGCGGTGCCTGATGTTACGGATAGGAAGTTTGTACGCATGATAGTGGAGAGATTGATGGCACATTGGGGTGGAGCATGATGAGCGACTTGCTTCTGGTAAATAGAATTTCGCAGTGACAGTTTTAGTACATAGATTCGATTAGCATCATGCGAAACCTATCGTTTCGATTTCAACTGAGATCACGTAGTCATGTGATTGAAATCACAACAGTAATTACCAGCCTTGATACTAAGAGATCGTACAATATAGTCAAACGCAACCCAAGCACATCGCCAAAAGCTTTCTCCGCCCCCACCACAGCCTGCTTGATGCCTAAAAGTGGCGATACTGGTCGTGGTAACGTTCTCTCCCGCCCGTATATCGGAATTCTCTGTCCGCATAGTTTTCATAGTCGCGGTCGCGATCGCTATAAGCAGTGTATGCATTATTGTTCGATGAACTCGTGTAACTGCGGTTACGGCTGTTCCTCTGGGCATAGCGCAAGTGACGAGGTCTTGTCAGGTCAGACGATGACGAAGGACCATACCAGGAGGACTCGGGGTGACGTGAGTGGGATGAAGGAGGGGGCCGTTGATGAGGCATGTGTGCAGGCAAAGGAGGCCGACCCGAGAAGGTGAGGGATGCCGGGGGACCCAGAAGCTGTGACTGAGATGCTGACCTGTGTCGCTTGGATGGCGAATTCGGGAGAGGCGAATTTCTCGTCGGTCGTGGACGCTTCGGGATTCGGTATATGTCCTTCTTTTCGGTCAGACCCTCCTCTTGCTTTGCATCTAGGCGCGCATCTTCTTCACTTGTGGCTTCAGGTGTTGTTCCAGGTGTTATGCAGGTGCCTCTGTTCTTAGTCGGTCTGGCTGATGACGAGAGTTCTGGAAATGTTTGAGATTCCGTTGCTTTCTGTCTTGCACAATGTGCTTCCGCTTTACGTATACCTAGTTTGAACATTTCCCCTGCGATGCCTTGAAGAGAAAGAAAAGGAAATGTCAGCACATGACGGAGAGATATCTTAACCTCAAACTTGACCTCTTCCTTGTCGAGATTCAAGTGCAATCTGGACCTACTTTCCTGGTGCCCATCGGTCTGAGCAGCCTCAATTGGTTGTGGTCGCGGAAAGTGCAGACCTGTACGCTCAAATTCACCCTTGTCCTGCCATTCCTTCAATGCATTGCGATCTAGATTTTGAGGTCCAAACGGTTTTAGAGGTTGTCGGAGAGCTCGATATAATGCTTGGGTGTGTAGAACATTGAGTTGCAACTTTGGATTGAATGCGTCTCGATTCTGAATGTACCATTCCAGACATTGGGTAAGACTTCGAGCATCAAGACCCGTCGGTAAATTCTGCAGTCCTTGCAGCAAATCATCGAATGTAGGAACGAATAAACCTCTTCGACGGTTTTCTACAAATTGGACAAGGGCAATGTCATCGGTGAACAGATTGCGATCTGATTTGCCTTTATAGCCTTTGGTCTTGAACTTTGGGATCGAACGCTTCACAGCATCGCGCTGGAAGTTATTCATCTGTGCTGTCGTTATCTTGTAGGTTGGAGGTCCGCGAAAGAAGGCCTGGAGAACATGTCAATATGCGTGCGTATCAGTATGTTCGAAGATCGACATACCTGCATGCCCATGATATCTCCACCTCGAAAATCATTTTCCGTCAAGCGCAACATTATCGCTTTCCATCGAACATGGTGCGGATAGTATGCTTGTATCTCTTTGGCGGAAATCGGTATGCCTGGAGGAAAGATCGCATCGATTGGTACGGCACTAGTGTACCACTGGTATAGCGGTCCAATATCAGCCATGTCTTTCCCGCCACAACGAATATTCTTGCGGACCATCATCATATTAAAGTCCCGTGTCTCGTCTGTCCACACACGTTGAAAGAGAGGAGAAACATGTGCAAACTCGATGGAGCCCTGGTCGCTTGGATGATCAAGTGTGGTGGTCGCCCGCGAGGTCGCCAGTGTAAGTGGAGAAGGTGCCTTCCTATTGATTGGAGGGGTGGACATACTGTACGTGGCCACTTTGATGGGAGGTGTCTTCGAATCGTCTAGCATATTTGCAACGAGTCGCTGTAGTGATACAACACCTTCATCCGTGAATCGAAGGCGAATCGTCAAGCCGAATGCTTCGTAACGCCGTTCATCGTCTGCCGCCGCATTGTGTACAGAGCGGTACCGCACTGAATATTGATATAAGCTTCGGCTCGGCGAAAGATTGGTTGTGCGCACTGTAGATCGGACCATCCTAGGTGATTCTTTTGTCTTGGTAACATTCTCAGGTCCCATAGCACCTGGACCTGTCTCGGCGGTGGAGTATTCGCTGCTCGCTCTCTTCATTCTAGTGATTCGTTGTGGTGCACCGTGAGCCTGATAATTGTGGTCCATAGAGCCACTGGCCGAATGGATCTTTGGATCTTCGTCGCTATCATCGTTTCGGGGCACGTCCGTGGTATTGTGCGAATTTCTAGTGCTGGGAATATATGTCGAGTGCTGTTGCCATCGCGACCGACGAGCAAGTGTATCACGTTCTTCCATAGTCGACGTCTCGAAAGTCTAGGAATATTGATGGAACCTGCTGCTTCTCGCGGCGTTTGGTGGATTGGAAATGGAGAGAACTGTACGAGGATAACTAAGTTGAAGAGCTTTGGGCGTGCTATATGACGCGTTAATCTACGAGAGTGAAGGTAACTGCGTATAAACAAACGCAGAAGCGCTAGTGTGTGAGCGATTGTTATTCCACCATGAGGTAAACGAAGACTATACAAATGAGAATTTTGAGACTCGGGGAGACTAAAAAATAACGCATTGAAATTCAATGAATGTCGCAGCGCCGCCCTGAGACTGCTGGCATAGCTGAACGAAGGAAGGGTTGTGATGAAATCGCGGTACCATTGAACGCATCTGACATACTGGCATATCTACAGAACCTGGTAGACCTGTTAGTTAGGGAAGAGCACCGTGTGGACTCATTCTTCAATATTCACCATACAAACACTGGCCTAGGCGAGTCCCAGTCTCCTCGAGCTTTGAACAGCGCAAGAATCGAAGGCTTGTCTTGTGTCCAAAGCCACGTCATTCTGAAGGCAGGTCTTAGGAGGCACTCATGCGAAGAACTGACATTAGCACGAGCAGTCACAGTGGATTCAATACCAATAGTTGCGCAGAGCCCTAGAGCCAGTTCTTATGGCCCTCTGGTCTTCTGCAATACTGTGGTTGACATCTCTTGTATAAGCACACTCGTGGCATCGAGAGTTATCTGGGGGGATGAAATCATGATAACCGCTTGATTGCGTCACGCTCCACTACACAGGCAGTCTTCTTGTGCAGAGAGTTTGCGAGGATCATAGACGAAATTGTTGCCATGGTCGCAGTGTAACTTCAACACACGTCGTCGTTTCGTGAGACGCGTTTTGATCACGTGGCTGATTACATCACCCTGAGACCCCACCCAACACTGTCCATTAACCGAGGCGCATCCATCAGCTCCTGCAATATCCGCTAATGACGATCAGGATATCCGCAACGTAACAAAATACCTCTCGCGAAGCGTGCTGCAACTCGACTTCTCCAAAACGTATCAGGCTCCGTTCAGTTACTCTCGTTCCACGATGAGCACCAAGTCCGTCCCAGTTTTGACACTCGATGGCGCACGCATCGCGCTCTCTGCTGCAGAAGCACGCGCCAAAGAGATCCAAGTACCTATGAACATCGCCGTTTTGGACAATGCATGCCATCTCCTCGCCTTTGCTCGCATGGAAGGTGCAAAATTTACATCAATCGACATCGCAATCAACAAGGCCTACACCGCGGCTGGCCATCGAGCACCGACAAGCGTCTACAAAGAGGCAGTTTGGCCTGGTGGTCAGGCATTCGGCATCAATAACAGCAATGGTGGAAAGTTTACGACAATAGCAGGTGGCGTTCCAATAAGAAGAGATGGCGTCGTGGTCGGTGCCATTGGATGTAGTACCGGAACCCCAAGTCAGGATGAGGACGTTGCGAAGAAAGGTGTGGAGGCTGTCGAGAAGACTTTTGGAGTTAAGGCCAAGCTGTGAGGCATCCAGAAAGCTATCATCACAATCAGACCTCATGTCCGTTGCGGCATGACTACAGCTTATTCATGCTGAGATTTCTTTTGCACCCTTTGGTGGCAAGCCATTCCCCTCTCTTCTTTGGGTAAAGGGCCTGTCGCTAAGGCCTGCCCATTAGTATCTGCAGTTCATAAGGAATACTCCTATTTCCTCCCATCTACCTAGTGATCCACGATCTGACACGGAAATCGATATTACCAGCGATCCTGCAGCCGCATGCCACGGGCGTGGACGGGAACGTACATACAGTAATGCATGTTAACGACGCTGTCAAATGGTATTAGTTCCTTCCTGACGTTCTCCAACCAATTGCATCTAATCAAATGAGTGGATCGGGTGGGGGCGAAACCTTCAGATCAAGGTGGTATCACAGCATTAGCACTGGAGATCCTGCCCGTCGGACATGAGTCCAGATGCAGTGCACACGCAGCTAAAATCTCTTATTCGGCATTTGCAGGGGAGTAGGTCTCGCCAGACATGTGCTGCTTACCAGCCGCATTCGATTCGAGCTGCATCAACTGATAGCTATAGAATCAAGTCCAGAAGGATTAAGTCTTGATGCTTTGCTATGTATAGACGGCCATGCTAGCGTTGATAGCCAGAGTAAGAGCTGCTCGGAAGTTTTCAATGTGGTGGTCTTAGCAGGATGTGTTTGTCAGCGTCGACTTCCTTTTTCCTAGCCAATATCCATTTGCAAGCCTTGTACCACCATTCAAATGTACAAACAGGAGCATGTTACTGGCTGAGATACATACCTGGAAAGCTGCTATCTTGGCGGTGAACGGGTGACGGGTATAACATGGGTCTTAGCGGCGTCCAGTTCTATTTCAGGATCCTCGATGGTAGGCCTGATTTGGGGGCTGGAGATGTCATATGTAAAGTAAACACAAACCCCGTGTTCAACGCAGCGTTGTGTTTGTCCATCCGCCTCTATCACAACCATGCGCTGCTTTACGGGTTTAACCTTTGGACTTTTGGCAGCTATTGCCAGCGCTGCTCCAAACAAGCCAGTGGAGCCACGGCAAACAACAGACCGCTATGTCTTTGCGCATTTCATGGTATGTCCACAAGTACCATATGTATGCAGTTGCTAACATGTTCAGATGGGCATCGTTGGCAATCGACAAAGCGCGGATGCATATGATGCCGATTTCTCTCTTGGTAAAGCAGCAGGTATCGACGCCTTTGCCCTTAACATGGGACCCGATGTTACAAACGAGCAACTCAACTTCGCATACGAGAGCGCGAACCGCATCGGTATCAAGGTCTTCATCTCGTTCGATTTCAATGGTGGTCTGTTCTCTGTCAACGACCCAGCAGCCGTTGGCCAACGTATTGCTGCGTTCAAGGACAAACCGGCTCAACTTAGAGTGGACCAGAAGCCATTTGTTTCAACCTTCGCTGGCCCTGGTCTGAACGTTGCTGCTGTCGAGGCGGCCGCAGGTGCCGATATATTCTTTCTTCCCAACTGGTACCCGGGTAATGATCAGACCGGCGCCGATGGTTTCTTCAATTGGATGGGTTGGTACAGCGACAATAACAACAACCCCGGCACAATCCCGCCGAGCAACGGTGATACAGCCTACATAAACTGGGTTGGATCTAAGAATCGCTACATGGCTCCTGTGTCTCCCTGGTTTTCTACGCACTACGGCGCCTGGGTGCCATATGGTGAGACATGCCGCGTTCCCTTTTAGCTATCAAAGACTGACACAAGCACAGTCAAGAATTGGGTTTTCCAAAGCAACGACCTGTGGTTCACGCGTTGGAACGAAATCCTGACGCTAGGCCCTCGATTCATCGAGATTGTCACCTGGAACGATTATGGAGAGTCCGCATACGTGGGTCCACTCTCGGGTCAACATTATGACGATGGGCATAGTAAGTGGGTCAACGACATGCCTCACGGCGGATGGCTCGATATGGCCAAACCTTACATTACCGCGTATAAGTCAGGAAGTACTGCCCCAGCCATTACAGAGGATAAACTGGTCTACTGGTATCGTCCCACGCCCAAGGGAATCACTTGCAGCGGCGATGCCCTTGGCAAGCCTAACGGCTGGGACCTGATGACCGACGAAGTTTTCGTCGTTGCGCTTCTCAAGACAGCTGGAACTGTGGTTGCATCTTCCGGTTCTAACAGTAGGACGTTCGAAGCACCTGCAGGCGCCAGTCTACACAAACTGCCCATGGGCGTCGGAGCTCAGAAGTTTACGCTTCGACGTGGCGATAGTGAGATCATGTCAGCTACCTCTCTTCGCGACATCGTCAACACTTGCCCTTGTGGCATTTACAATTTCAACGCCTATGTTGGCACGGTTCCAGCAGCGGCACCTGATGTGCTCGTTGACAACGCGGCTATCACATCGAGTGTTCCTCAAGGCTATGTATGTGAGCCAACGCCATCACTTCCTATTCGCGCAGCAGCAGCTAGAGTCACCGGTGCTGCATAGTTCAATGTAGGACTATTACGAAGGCTCTTGAGGTATTTCACAATGTCTAGGCGTTAACACTAGAACTATGTGCAATCCTCATAACTATAACATAAAATCAATATCGATTCGTGCTCCACAAACATGATCTCAATCGGATTTGAAGCAATCTCTCGACACATGGTCCAACGTTGTAGGGAATGACTGTGGCTGTTAATTATAAAACGTATTTAAAAGGAGTAGAAAGATTACGACAACAACCAATGCTGCAAAAGTATGAAAGAAGCATACACACACGTACCGCGTCGTTCGTTGAATCGAGGTCTTGTGCACAGAGATCGCGTCGATTGCTAATTTTCAAGTTTTCAGGCGAGCTTTACGATATAGTGAGATTGGATCCTGTCCAATTCAAGCTGCTTCATCGTAATTCCATGAGGCCTTCTGAGAGAGGCAGAAACTGTCAAGCGGTAAGAAGTCTTACATACGGTGTAGTAGTATCATGTTTGAACTGTATGCACAAGATAAGAAAGACTAGGCGAATCCAGTGTCCAAGCACAGGTTCCTAGGAGTGTCACGATCTCACCGCAATGCGGCCGAGACCGAGAATCTGGTTATCGGTCTTGTTCTGGAATTTGGAAACAATTGCCCGAACTGCTCGAACTCAATATCCGCAGACCCCTGCGTGACCATTCGTGAACGACGGCCGGACAGTGTCTAACACCAACCACCTACCTCTTATGGTACGGAAAAGCACTTGTAGCCTTTGACTGTGGATCTACAACGTCACCCAAGAAATATCGCAGCGGCGAGTTGCCCAACATGCCTAGGAGGTCGAGGTCGTCATCGCAACCCGTGTAATCGTCGAGGCTAAAGGCTGATCTGACCAAGTCGCTGCCCGTGAATGGGTGCGGTACGAATGATGAAGTGTTGGGCTTACCACGGTAGCTTCGGTACGTCACCAGCCTTCTCTCCGAACCAACCCCCATTGTAGGGCGATGCGACCGGTACCCTGTCATCCCACGTCGCATACTCTTACCAATCGGTGTTAGACACAAGAATGGATCTACCCGCCCTCTTCATGCATGCACACCGACATGCGATTCCCTCAGAGATGCGAGGTATATAGCTTGCGTCTTACGACCTGATCGAAACACACCCCTAGACTACTTCATGCAGAAGATGAGCCACGTCGGTCACACTATGGAAACGACGATCGTTTACGACTGTTCTCGATTAGTTTGTATCAAAAACCTGGGTTTGGACAGCCATCGGCCAATCACGGAGATCCGAGACGGTCCGATTGACCGCTTTTAGGGGATGTCTGTGTGCATCACTAAACCGTGCGTAGTGCGCAAGGCGTTATACGCGGCAGTACCATGGCTCATTTTGCTCCCAAACGACATGAGATGTTAGGCCTCAGTGCCCATACTTCACGATCGCCCGCGCAAATCTTTAGGACACGTTACCATCTCCCCCCTATCTATATCTCTGTTCAAGACCCGACTTGACTCCATCAACCCGCCGTAAGCGACTGGAGTCGACTCAAAACTGGAGCGCCTGTTACCCCTCTTTACCCGATCGAACATCATGTCTGGAGTCATGTGCGTGTGGGCAACCTTGCCGGAGGAGGCATTGGACTGGTACGAGAACGAATACCTTCCCGAAAGGACAAATGCACACTCCAAAAGCACAATCTATTGTGAAGCCACAGAAAGTGGTCTTGATTCAGAGCCGATTGGTCATTTGGGTACGCCTTGGGAATTGATGTCTGTGTATGAGGTCGAAGATATCAAACAGATGAGCAAAGAGAGCTATGACAAGAAGACCCACCCACCCAAGGAGATGATGAATGGAATATTGAAGGGCTCGCGCTTCGACGTAAAGACATGTCGAGAAATCGCCAGATGGGGAGGTGACCATTGGGATGGGGGTAAGGCCCGGGTTAAAATCATGATGAGTCGACATGAACTGACAACCATAGACGTGAACCGAATTACAAGTGTGACTGCTATGGAATGGCGAATTCCCAAGGAGGAAGAGGAAGAAGTCATCACTTTTTATACCAAAGATCTCGCGCCAATGGTAGCCGAGTCTGAAGATGTATTGCGTTTCAGACTCTTCGAGGTCGAGAACGCAACTTTTCTCGAAGGCGAGAATTACGTCACCAAGGAGAAGGATTCTTTGCACACTTACTTCACCTTGGTTGAATTTGAAACCGACGAGTGGCCATGGGACAAGATCATGCAGCTTTCAGAGAATCCCAAGTGGCGCAGATACTTTGAATCGCAGGAAATAGTGGTGAGCTTCATTCAGTTCTTTTTTTTTCAAGCAGGGTATCGCTAATAGGATAACAGAAATGGCAAACCAGTCATTACATGGTGAACAGGGCCTACCTACCCGAACAGTCGTCGAAGCCAGACGAGGAAGACTCGAAAGCTAGCACGTGAGCGGGCTCACCGCTTTCTTATCCTCGTCTCCACCCCAATTAATGAGGCCTTCTTGTGCGGCATGAGACGTTAGACTAGAGAGCAAAATGGAACAGCGCCTTCTCTCGAGACGAATCAGCCATGAGCTTTCCACGAATAGCCCCGGGCGTTGGTTCGCCCATGGTATTCTTCAACTTTCCACCGGCAGTGTGCGTGTTGATGCTTTGCATCATTTGCCAAGAAGACACTGAGTGACGGGGAACCACAGATACCCCGTTCTTTCCTTTCCTTAATCTGCTCTTTCCAAGGCGACGCTGCGTACGAATGTATGAGGAAAGATTTTCATATAGATTCAAGCATCCTACACGTCTTCCCTTGGCTACCAAAACAACATGCGCTTGCTAGGAATATGTGAGAACCCCGCATCCATTTGCCATGGTACGCGTGTTCGCCGCCCAGCTGAACGGGGCAAAATACATAGTTTTGACTACCTCGCTCGGGCCGTTGTCAACTCGGCAGCACCCGGCCCATGCACCTATCACGGGTTGTGATTGTTTTCACTCTGGAGGTCTACAGCGTGATTCGAACTGGCTTCTTGCACCGAGAAGCTATCCTGTATTAGGTTACCCATCCTTTGCACCGGTAGCAATGGCCCTCTTGTGCGTCGGTGTATAATGAGTCAGAATTTAACGTGACTACATACAGTACCCTTGATCCTGACGGTGTAGGCGCTTGGCTTCGGAAGTCCTTCACCGTCTACAACTCCGCCCCGCTCTGGGGAATATTGACATGTCGGACAAGCCCGTTAGGTAAGGTACCCCGCCATTGCCAGTCGAAAGCGTTGATCAATTTCGATAATCAAGTGCCTGGGACTGCATGTATTGAGGCGTCAAGGCTGGGGAGTATACCGGTACCTGTAAGCTTACACCAACATCGGCACTACATATCGTCTTGGCAAAGCACATCTACGCGCCGACGACGTAGGTACTCTATAGAATTCACTTGTGTAGCTCATTGTACCTCACACCACAAGAGCCGTCTGCTTGACGGTAAGCAGTCACAAGACTCCTTCTGGTAGACATCTACTCCCACAAAGCGGGTATACCATGGTACAATACATTTCCAACCTAATCGCCAGACGCACAGATACTGGCCTGCGCAGCTCAGTCAGACTTTCTCCACCTCCAACCCACCTCCAAAACCCCATACAAGGAGAAAAAAAAAGGAAAGAAAAAAAAAGCTTTCTCATACCACAAGTCCCCATAGACTAGCAAGCTGACCTTTCAAATTCCATGTATTCTCTCCTCACACCCCAGCAAACAATCTGCACCCCGTCCTCGAAGCCCAGCACTACACGGCCAAACCAGGGTTGAATACACGCACCCTGGTCCCACCGCCTCATCAGAGGATTCATAACCATGTAGCGCACCGTTGTAGATCATGGCACCGAGCAAAGCGCCTAAATGCGCCGTGGGGGCGCGGCATATACCATTATTCGGGCCTAGAGTTGATGGCATGATCTACCTGCTTGCATTAGTGGGCTAGCATGTGTACTCGTATGTACTGGTACATGGCATGTAACAGTGCATATGATAGCAGCACTGGTGAATAGCCCGCACTCGCAGCTACTGTAGGTAACTCGCTTGACAGAATTATGAAGCATGTTTGCGATGGTGCTGTGGACTGGGGTGCTTGTGCAACTTTGGGGGTTGTTTTAACAGAATGCGATTGCGTGAGAGGGGAAAGTATGGTAGCGCTTTTGCGAGTTTGAGATACTCATGGCAAGATGTTTACACGCAGTTTGCTCCGTTTATATACACACGGTAGGTCACGTATTCGTCCCCCTTTCCTCACAGCACGATGCCAGAAGAAGCAGCGCTACGCATAGACATATATGAATTCAAGCCACAAACACCACAGCACCCTTACTAACCCCACTCACAAATGCGCGAGAGAAGTCAACACCACAAACCCATCTCAATTGCCTTGCCCATTCCCATGCCTCCAAGGCCCTGTCAACCTGGTATTATATGTATGCACCAGCTCCTCTCCAGCCAACCTATTCTCCGCCATCAATGGTCTATCGGGCACGCGATGTGTGCTACATACGACCAGGGCTATGTGATGTCGATGTCGATGTGCACAAGGGATTTTTCTAGCGTGTGAGTTAGAAGGGTCTGTGCTAGATTTGGTGGTGTTCTGTTCAACAGTAAATAAGGAAGAAGATTGTGTTTGCCTTCCGCGTGCGTATTGACTCTTGCTAACCCATTGAATACTGTATAAAACGTCATCGTTATTGTATTAATGGTTTGAAATATTTGGTAGAGCACGATTAAATTCTGTCGACTTTGTACATGTGTGTGGGGGGAGTGGGAGGAGTGGGAGGAGTAGGGTTGGTGTTGGGATGGGTGTTGGTGTGGGCATGGGTAATGAGTTGGTATTAGGGTAGAGAAGGCAGATAGTATATAGCAGATTGACTTGTGTAATGTAGCGATATCAAGGCATTAGGATGTTTTAATGTTGACTTCATCGCGTTGTGCCTGGGCTCGCATCAGCGGTTCACGGTTATCGTTACCTTGTGCCTAGAGCAGCTCCTCCTCTCCTTTCCACTTCCTCCCTCCCCCCTCCCCCCTACCCTAAACGCGCCTAAACACGCAATCATATCAGGCTGATTTAAAGCAGAAAGAGCAGGGCAGGTAGGGATAATAAAGGGTGATTGAGGATGTATTAGGAAGGGGGATGGAGAGGGGAAAAAAGAGGAATGTCAACATACACATTGATTTTTTTTTAATAAAAGCAATATTCTAACAAAAACAATTAGGGGTATCATTTCGCCACATTGCAGAAAAAAACCTATACACCATACACACCACACAAACAACCCAACCCTACCTCCACCTCACCTCCACCTCACCCCCCACAACCCCCCCACAACCCCCCAAACCGCCGCCAAAACCCTCCTCCCCACCCATTCCTCCCCTCTCTCCCCTCTCTCCCCTCTTCCCCCTCCCCGCCGCGCCCTCTCAACCTCCCCAGCCCACCTCCCCACCACCTCCCTCTCCTCCCCAAGCACCCTCTCCCCCGGCGCCAACCGCAGCGCCAAATCCAGCATCCGCACCGCCTTGTCACACCTCTGCACCTCGCCCATCAAACGAATCCACCTCGCCTGTAAAAACAGCATCTTCGCGCGCTGATCCCGAGCCGGACGCCACGTGGCATCCGCATGCTGTGCGAAGCGGGCAGCAGCTGCGTCGCAGAGGGCGAGGTGGTGGCGTGCGGCTGTGGCGTTGTGGGTGAGGAGAGGGGGGGAAGGGGTAGTTGGGATAGTTGGGGTTGATGGTACATCGAGGGTGAGGAATTGGGCGTGTAGGAGGTGGAGGGTGAAGTAGAGGTTTGCGGTTTCGTTTATGAAATCTAGGCCGCCGGATTGGGAGAGGGGGTGCCAGGAGGTGGAGTGGCGGATTCGGTTGAGGGTGCGGAGGGCGGAGGACCAGGTTGTTGCGCTGGTGTAGGGGTTGAAGTGGTGGTTGTTGCCGAGGGTGATGGCGGTGTGGATTTGTTCGAGGGTGGTGGTGGGGTTCGTCCAGCGGGGTTGGGCGGCTTGGGTGGTGAGGGTTTGGGAGAGGGTGGGGTCGACTGGGTCTAGGATGTGGAGGTTTGGAAGGCCGCGGAGGCTGGTAACGGGGTTTAGGAGGTGGTGTTGGAGTTTTGGGGTGAGGAAGTGGGCGAGGGAGTAGTTGAGTTTGATTTCGACGCGCAGAGAGATGTGTTCTTTTGTTGTTGAATTTACATCTTCCATGACGGTTTCCAAGTCGAGCTGGTCGCATAGTTTGGGCAAGTCAGAGCGCAGTATCAAGATTTCGAAGTCGGGGTAGTCGAATACAAAGGGCGTTGATGCCGGCTTGGACAGCGTCATGTGCATTACGTAGCCTTTGAATTGGCTCACTTTCCCACCATCGGTTGTGATTACTGGAATCCCGTCGGCGAGGAACAGCTTGCGCACATCAAGACCCCGACATGTGATGCGTATAAACTGGTTGCGTTTGATCATGTAGTCTGATGCCTCGGCTTGGATTCGCTTGTTGGTGCGTACGAGGGCGGTCGCAGAGTAGCTTGGACACCGCCTGCTTAGGTTGCTGAGCCAATCTGGGTCTTGCTCGAGCTCGCTGTCCCATGAACAGAGCAGCAGGTCGTAGATGTTGTTGCGGAGTTCGCTAGGGAGATCAAGAAATCGGAATGGCTGCAAAGGTACGTGGGAAGACATGGTGGCGAGCGTGCGTCAAAGGCGTGGGGTTGGCGTGTAGGATGTTTGGTCGCAAGGGCCAGATGTCGCAACGTCAATGTCGCAGAGGAAATGCTGTTGCTGATATCGATGGCAAACCTGGCGCAATAATCTCGTCCCCGTGCAAGTAGCGTACAGCATCTCAAAGCTCAATGCGCTGTACCCGTACCCGTACACAACAGTCGCCGTGTCAATCCGTCGCTCAAACCAAAACGTCAGCAAGAAATCGGAAAAACAGCACAAGCCACCCAACGCGTACGGGACCGTCCAAGAGGTAAAAAAGAAAAAGAGCCTTCCCCCCGAGAAGAAGAGAAGCTGCAGAGGATATCCACTGCCGTGAGTAATCCGAGTCAAACACCTGCTACCGTCACATCCCGACGGAGGTGAAAAAGAGGAACAAGGCCCAAACCGTCCAAGCTCAAGCCTAGCGCTAGGCATGGTACTTTCCCCGACTCCCGACAATACCGGGACCGGGACGGCGAGGTACGGTACGGCACGGTAATAAAAATAAACACTACAACAGCATCCCCAAAACATCCTCCCTCTCGATCTCATCCTCTCATCCTCTCATCCTCTCATCCTCTCATCCTCTCATCCTCTCATCCTCTCATCCTCTCATCCTCTCATCCTCTCATCCTCTCATCCTCTCATCCTCTCATCCTCTCATCCTCTCATCCTCTCATCCTCTCATCCTCTCATCCTCACACCCTAACTCTGGGTAGGCATCTGGAGCAACCAG